TCACTAGAACTATAGAAAGTAGATCAGACAGCTGATCCGTACGCTGCTGCCTGCGTCCTCACTAGAACTATAGAAAGTAGATCAGACAGCTGATCCGTACGCTGCTGCCTGCGTCCTCACTAGAACTATAGAAAGTAGATCAGACAGCTGATCCAGATGCTGCTCTTGTAGTTGAAATTGTGAATAACCTTCCGTGCCTAAGCTGTGTAATATTCCTCTTCTTACTTTATTTATTATTAATAGTTTCATTTCTATTATATGACATCAGTTTTTAAAAACATAAAATATAAAGTTAAATTGGAAGCTGTTTTATTTGTTTAAAGATGGACAAAAAAGAGCTCGAAATGGGTTTTTCATTTTATTTTTAAATGAGATATGCTTTTTTTCTCTATGTTTTAGTGCATCTATTGTGACTGGTAGCTACATGTGTTGGACAGCAGGTGGCGCAGTCATTTCAGACTAAGGTCAGAGAGTGAAGAACACCTACACTGGAAAAACAATCCAAAAATAAGACAAAACTTCTTAAAGTAAGTGTATTTACCCTTAATTTGAGTCGGTAAATAAGATGATTTGCCAATGAATGAGTATTTTTTATCATTAAAATAAGATAATTAAATAAAATGCACTTGAAATTTTTCTTATTTTAAATGTAAATTATCTTGTTCCGTCGGCAAAATGTCTCACAGTCCTCAGTTCAAGAAAAATGTGCCTTAATTTAAGAAAAAGGGACTATTTAGATGAAAATTTTTTGCTATGTAGGACAGTAAATTATTGCCTAATCTCTTGTCTCTCCTTGTAATGACTTTGAATTTTTAATCCTTTAAAACATGAAAATAAAACAAAGCAAGTAAAATTTAAACTGATCCTCTTTGGGCTGAAAGAAGAAAAAACTCATATTGTGATGCCATCTTTAACAGCCTTTCTTAATCGATTGTTCACTGCAAAAACGATCTAGAAAGAAGTACAAATTTCCTAAATGTAGCCTTATTTACCCTTAATTTTTGTAAGTAAATAAGATGATCTGCCAATGGAATGAGTGATTTTACTCTTAAAATAAGATAATTAGATCATATGCACTTTAAATAAGACAATCAATCATTTTCTTATTTTAAATGTAAATTATTTTGCTCCATTGGCAAAGTGTTTGACTTACCTCATCTATTCTGGACTAAATACACTTATTTTAAGAAAAAATGACTTATCTAGATTAACATTTTTTGCGGTATTGGTAATAATTTTGTTATGACTGAAGCACATTTAAGCTGATAATCTTTCAGTCAAATGAAACCAAACACTCCACCACAGTATCGACCATTTCAAACTCAGACTTAATAAAACATCTGAATCTAAGTAACTTAATTACAGATGAATGAATGAAGCTTTTTATGTCGCCATGAATATAAACTAGGGCTGCAATTAACCAATATTTTGCAAATTGATTAATCTGTTGACTATTTTTCCAATTAATTGATTAATAATTGGATAGCTCAAGGGTTCCTTAAAGAAAATGTTTTTTGTTTTCTTTTATAATTTTTTAATATAACTGCAGCTCTAAGTGAGTCGATCTGTCAGCTAAAGGCATGTTTTACATTCTCTATACTCCTTTAAGGATTAATCAATTACTAAATGAGTTTATGATTATTTCAATAATCGATCAATCTGATTAATTGTTTCAGCCCTAATAAAAATATATTATTGTTTTTGCAAAAAAATAAAGCAGTTTGGAATTTCATTACTTGAAGCTTTTCTGTTTCTATAAAAGAAAACTTTTAGCTACTGTGAAAAAAAATGACTCAAAATCTAAAAAAGTCATTTTTTTTTCTTAAAAGTGCATTTGTTCTTGGATTAAGGAGATAAAAGAGACATTTTGCCAATTTACACTTAAAATGAGAAAACGCGATTGCATTGTCTTATTTCAAGGGCATATTATCTAATTATGTTATTTTAAGAGAAATAAAAATACTAATTCCATTTACAGATCATCTTATTTACTTACTCCAATTAAGGGTAAATGAGACTAAATTTAAGGACATTTGTACTTATTTCTAGATCGTTTTTCCAGTGTAAACTTCCAAAAACTGCAGGAACAACCAAGAGGAAAGTTTTTGTCATAAAATGTAATAAATGTTAAATTAATAAATGTTACATTCACTTACAGAAATTACACTAAACCGCCGATTAGTTTGCATTTAATAAATGAACAAATAATGTTGGGTGTTTTAGGAGAAAATGAAAGGATTAAAAACCGACCAGACAGAAATAATCTATTCTGAGTTTTAACAAATAAAGTTAATGTTTTGTTTGTTTTTATATCAAACTGTGAACATGTTTGGATTCCGGTTTGACTAACTCAGGTGGAAAAGTCGCAGAGAGCCAGCTGCGTTAATGTGCGGTAACTTACCGCAATAACCAGGCCGATGGTTTCTGACAGGGTGGCGCAAAAGATGAGCGACACGCAGAAAACAGCGAAGCTCCTCTGCATCTAAAGCCAACAGATCAAAGAGTGAAGGACGGCACGTGTTGTTAGAAGCGCGCGGGCAGAAGGAGCGCCTACCTTTGATCGGTCTGTCCAGCAGGTGGCGCTGTCTGAGCTGAAGTTGCGGTGTGTTCGCTGTTTGGGATGAAGCGCGGACTGAGGGCAGCTTTTATGGCCGCAGCAGTCCGACCTGCTGACGTCAGCCCCGCCCCCCCACCCAGCAGCGTCAGAGGACTGACTGGATGAAAGCTGCTCATTAAAGCTTCACCACATTTCTCCCTGTCGCCTTTGGAGACGTGAGATTGAATTTGGCGCAGAAAACGCGGATGTTTGTCCATAATGTGATCAGGAGTTCATTGCTTCACTTCCCTCCATCTCTGAGGGACCTGCTGCTCATCATGGACGCCTTCATTTCCAGCCTCTACACTATTTTATTTGTTACATTTCGTGATGTGCACTGATTCTGAAAAAGTAGAAAATTCATAAATGTTTTGTGGCCATAAAAATGCTAGACTGTTATTCTAAGGGTCAAATGGCACAATCCTGCACATTTGGAGACGCTGGTGATGCCAAAGGTTCAAAGCCCCACAGCTCTGGAACTGTTGGAGCTAGAGGTCTGAGATTTTCTGCATTTGTGATTGACACAATGTAGAACAAATGTAATACAATGAGACCTGCCAATTCCCAAGCATATTTCTACTACTGCTGTTAAGAAAAGTGTGGAAGAGGATTAGGGCCACTAAAAAAAAAAAAGTTAACTGATTTTTAAATTTTATTTCAGTTTAACATGGGAAAAAGTCCGAATTCTGACTTTTTCCTCAGAATTCTGACTTTTTTCTCAGAATTCTGACAGCTAACAAACATGTTAGCATCAAGCCATAGCCATGTCTGTTTTAGAGACTAGCTCTCTTGTTTTAATGACCTTCTGCTCCTCCATTAATGAGGGGACCCCTCAGGCACGTAAAAAGTTGCCTAATTCCGTCATTTTCCACCAATGTGTCTCTGGCTCTCTCAAACAACTCACATCTTTGTCAGTGAAGCTGAGTGCTCCCTCATCTCTACCTTCATGGTGCCCATCTACATTAAGACCCCAAATTCTGAGATTAAAGTCAGAATTCTGAGAAAAAAGTCATAATTCTGACATTAGAGTCAGAATTCTGCGATTAAAGTCAGAATTCTGAGAAAAAAAGTCAGAATCTGAGATTAAGTCAGAATTCTGAGAAAAAAGTCAGAATTCTGATATTAAAGTCAGAATTCTGCGATTAAAGTCAGAATTCTGAGAAAAAAGTCAGAATCTGAGATTAAAGTCAGAATTCTGAGAAAAAAGTCAGAATTCTGACTTTTTTCCCCATATCAAACTAATCCTCTTCCAAAGGAAAGGCGTATTATTTTCAAGAAGAAAAAAAGACAACTTTGAGTCAGGTTTTAGAAGAAGCAGAATTTTACTCACATTATTTTCATTTATATTTTCAGAAACTAGAAGGTGTTAGTTTTCAAATGATGTATTACACGTGTAATTTAGGCTTACAGTTCCTCAGTTATTTGCTTTTCTATTTGGGTATGCAATAGAAGTGGGCAGGTCGATCCTAGGATGGATACTATCGATACCAACGCTGGTATTGATATTGAACAATATTCATTTAACAAGATCGATACTTTTTATTCTCTCTGCAGCAGATTCACCAGTCTCCCCTGTCTGTGTTAAAGTGCTTTGCTCTTCCCCCCTCCCCTCTGGCTCAGCACACAGGCTCATCCTGGCCTAAAGAGGGAACGAAGCGCCGTTTGGCTATACTTCAATGCCCTAAATGAAACAACAAGCTGTATGGTTTGTGAAAATCTGGTTAAATAAAGTGAAAACACAACAAGTTTATATAAGCGCATGAAAAACCATGAGCAAGAAAACGTCAAGCTACAGAAACGGAAAGAGGAGGCGAAACTTCTCTCATGGCCCCGACCAACCCTGGACCCTCAGACAGACGTCACTGACAGGCGGCGCTTCAGACCTCCAGAGAAAATCCAGGTAGAGAAGACTGATCACCTTCATTTTAACTTTCAAAGTAGATATTATATGTCATATATTACTGGAGCCCACTCAGAAAAAGTAATTAAGACCTTGAAAGAACTCAGAACATTTATCCCATTAAAATGTGTCATCTAAGTGGGCTAACATTAACTAATCCTCTATTTATCCCACAACAGGGAAATATAGAATTAAATCAACAGAAAAGTGTGCACAATAGAAAGCAAATAACATAAGAATAGAAAGATGTTATATAAGAGGTAGATTAGTAAAAAAAAACACTATGAACAGAACATTATTAATGTAATTATTCATTTGTAACAATAAAATTTAAATCACAAAAATACTGAAAGGTCAACAGTTCCATGATACATCAAGTTTAAATGTAAAAAGTATCGATATGGGCAATACTGACCCTGTAATTACTTGGTGTGGTGGTATCGTCCACCTGTAGAGGCAAAATAGATAGATTACTGCAAATGAGGTGAGTTTTAAGAGGTTAATCCTGCTGATTTTAATCCTGATCAAACAGAAAGAGCCCTGTAGAAAAACAAACATTTGAATAAATTCATCAACATTTCTTAAACTATGAGATTCAGACACATTTATTTTCTTTGAATAATGCATTAAAACATTAAGTTGTGATTGTTTGCAGTCAAAGGACGTAAATCGGCATGTTTTTAATATTTAATGCTGAAGACATCTGGTTGATTAGGAGTAAGCTGCCTCTGATGAAGGTGTGAAGGATCTTTTTAATTCTCAGAGACAGAAGAAACTTCCAGAAGTCAAACATTTGAAAAAAAAACAATCAACCAGAGCTTAACCTCAACAAGAGAGCTGCTGATTTTTTTTTTCTTTCACCTGGTGCAGAGATCTGGTCATCTTTTGTCAGATGTTCCTTATGAATCCTGTTATATCTTTAATATGAGTTACAGTCAGAAACTGACAGGAACATTTAAAATAAAATAACATATATATTCAGCTCTGGATTAAATAAAGTGTTCCTGACACTGGAGAAAAATGGCAAAATAACTCAAATCTATGAGCCCAACAATAGGACCTAATTTCACTTTTCAATAATTGACTAATCATTATAGAGGCTGTAAAACATGCCTTCACCTCACAGAGCGACCCGCTTAGAGCAGGAATCCTATTAAACTTGTAAATATATATTTATATATATATAAAAACATTTTGCATTTAAGATTTTAAAAATTCCTCAGTGGAAAAGTTTTCGTTTCACCTAGGATGATTTTTAAAAAAAGTGTTTAATGATTAATACTTTAATGATCCAGGGGAAATGATCTTCATTTCAGGCTCCAGGTAACCAAAAACCACATGTTGCACACATTCATCATCTAAAGAAATATAATACAATTTTACACACTAAAAATAAAACTATAAACATAAACATATGTAACTACATATATTTACAGATCTAAAAAAAAAAAAAAAAAACAAGGTAATGATAGCAATGTGCAAAAGAGAGCAAAAGAATGAATAAATGTCAAAATTGTCAATAATTCTGTAATCAGTCCAAATTACTGGGGGGGGTGTATGACTTTCTGAGGGAGGCGTCGTAGAGGAGTTTCCTGCTGAAGGAGCTCCTTGCTGGGCCAGTGTGTCGAGGACAGGGGGTGAGACATTGTCTAAGTTGGACTGAAGCCCGGACAGGATCCTCCTGTCTGCTACGGTGGTCAGAGTGTTTTTAATCCGATTATTAATCGATGAATTTGAAAAAAATAATCCTCAGATTAATCAATTTGCTTTAATCCTTAGTTGCAGCCCTATACTGATCTTTTATTCTGGAAAACTAGGGTTGAACACTTAACATTGCATCCGTGCTAAATATAGTTTATAAACTGAATATTTAGTTTCAAATTACATTTTTTATTTTCAGACAAAATGTCTTTGAATTTGTAGAGCTTTTTCTTTTATTTTGCATGTAAATCTTCAGCCGATCCATTTACAGCCTACTCTGTGAGCCACCATGTTGTGACTCCTACTACATGGATTTTTCCATAGATTTAGGTTTAGGAATGAATCCTATAACCAGCTGTGCTGAAGCAGAGAAACCTGTAAAACCTGCAGGACAGGGGGCCTTGAGGACCGAGTTTGGGGATGCCTGGGTTAGAAGATAGCAGACTGCTGAGGAGGATCCACGTTCTAAAAGGGTCTAACTTTGTGATAAAAGCTGGTGGGGGCGCTCTAAGGGTGGGGGCATTCTAAGGGTGGGGGCGCTCTAAGGGTGGGGGCGTTCTAAGGGTGGAGGCCCTCTAAGGGTGGGGGCGCACTAAGGATGGAGGTGCTCTAAGGGTAGAGACGCTCTAAGGGTGGGGGCCCTCTAAGGGTGGGGGCCCTCTAAGGGTGGAGGCGCTCTAAGGGTGGAGGCGCTCTAAGGGTGGAGGCACTCTAAGGGTGTAGGTGCTCTAAGGGTGGAGGCGCTCTAAGGGTGGGGGCGCTCTAAGGGTGGAGGCGCTCTAAGGGTGTAGGTGCTCTAAGGGTGGAGGCGCTCTAAGGGTGTAGGTGCTCTAAGGGTGGAGGC